GTTGTGCTAGTACAAAGTTCCAAGTCTTCACCTCATGCACAAATAGAAGCTCTTTAGTCTTGGTTGGTAAGCTATCTAGGGATGGTGCCATGATAAAATTACTTATCCCCAACAGCACATGAAATTATACATGATAATGAATTACACATTAACCTTAAAAACAAAAATTCCTGTCTATGATCCATCAAGTGTGTTTGCCATTTAAACCCTTTCTTCCCACCTCTATATGCTTGTAATTATCTCTCTAATCCTGATTATGCAATATTTTTGTAATCAACTCATACTTAATTAACATTGTGGCTACTAATATGTGGATGTTAAGTTGTTCCATTTTGGCATTATATAATAATAAGATTATATAATTTACACTTGATGAATTATTCTAAAAAATGTTACTCATATTGTGTGAATGTTTCTAGCTTGTGACAGATTTCTACCATATTTAATGAGATGCAAAACTCATGTATATATAAGGACCCACAACTGCCAATTTTAGCAGAGAATATTAGGAAAAACTTTCAGTAATATACAACTTCTGATATGTGGATATATTTTATTCAGTTTTTAATGAAAAAAGCAAGTCATATCCCAAATGATTCTACTAATAAAAAAACAGAGGTCTGTGTATTGTTGATGAGAATGGCTATGCTGATAACATAGGTATTCATAGTTGGGATAAGAATGATCTTAAACAAAAAATCAACATTTTTTACCAAGTGTTCCATGAAGTAGGACTTAAGGTACAAAACAAACTATAATCTGGAATTGGAATGAAAACATTGATGTCACATATTCTGAATCCATCATAAAAAGTTTAGAATGTGGAATTAATAAATTCTAAACACTTCAAATATCTCATATATATATCCATTATAACAAATTTAGTATAAGCAATAAGGAAATTGAATATAGAATTTAATGGGTATAGGGGATGCATATGTATTCATGAGCAACACACATTACTCATCCTGCTTCTCTCAGTGGGTCTTTAATCCTCATGTACATGAGCAAACTTGTCTTGGTACTTTTAGGCTTTGGATGGGTACAATGTTTCTGACAAAAGAGTAGTTCTGTTGCCTTGACTTCTGGACAGGTGTGACATGTCCATTGGAGCATCATGCATGTATCTTCTTTCCTGGGTTGATTGTCCCTTCATTAAGGGGGCTAGAGGTAGAAATTTTCTGAGTGTTGGCATTATTTGTCTGATAGTCATGGATCCGAACCTTCAAGTAACTCCAAAGGAGGCTATCCTATCAGCAGGTGTGTAATATCAGGGCTATTGTACTGCCATTTTGTGAATGGTTTCTGAACTGTGCAGTAATGGGGCCTCTCAATACCATGACGAAGGGTACTACTATAGCAGTATCTCTGGTCGATTTTCTCCAGATTATTTATACATGCAACTCCCGTGGGTGTGTATATCCCACTGCCTGCTAGTATTCCACCAAACAATACACACATGAAACTGATTAAAATGAAAATGAACAAAACTAGCAAACCTATCCCCATCCCCAAAAAGACAAAGTAGACCCCACGTATACTATTTCCTACACCAACGTGAGGGGGGGGTCTACGTTCCAACTTTCCAGAAGTGAAACTCCATCTTCTTCAATCCAAACCCGACCTCCTGTTATTTTCTGAAAGAGGTATCAATGACACAAATACACTAGAGAATCTCACAGTCCCGTGCTACTCACCTCTTATAGCAAAACACGACCACTTAAATCGTCACGGCCACGGACTCGGAGCCTACATCCAAAGATGCAAAAAATGAGGACCCTGATTTTCCCGTATATGTGGCACTTATTAGTACTACATTCGCCTTTGCTCAATATCGTCCTCAAAACGAAGGGACGGTAATCTTCGATCGAATATCTGAGAACAGTGATAATATCCTTCAGCTAGCTTTCATATCTGCGGTGACTTCAATATCCCCCATAAAGAATGGTTAGTCCACTCCAACAAAACTGATGATGAAAGCAGATATTGCAGAGACGATAATCAAAGAACCTATCCGTGTCTCGGACACGACATGAACCTCCTCGACCTCTTTCTAACCTCTTGCTCTGATAAATTCTTAGCAAAAGTTTTATGTCCCCCCCGCTTCTTGACACGTCAGACCATTCCCTAATCAGTGTCCAGAATAGTACCAAACCTAAGGCAGCCCCTGGTGTACCGTTCCATTTTTCGTTATGCGAAGTCAGACTGGGACAACTTTCGATCCTACATGATGGAGGCTCCCCTCCTAACCTTCTTCAAGCATGCTACCTTCAAAACTGCTGCCTTTGTCACCACCAACCAGCCCGAAAAAAAAAAAGAATTCCAGAAAAAAACAAATTGTCAACCCTGGTTCACCTCTAAATGCGCTACAGCCATAACTCACCGATACCACTACTTCAATATCTATCGCAAGCAGCGATGTAGTTTGGCCCTCACTGTATTCAGAATTGCCCGTAATCGCTGCGAAAAGTTCTAGAAAACTCCAATTGCAGCTACGCATGAAAAGTCTAGACCAAGGTCGAAAAGAAACAAATAGGATCCCGTAAATTCTGGAAGATTACCAACCAAATTATGAACAGAGGTAAAGCGGCTGTACCCGCAATTATAAATGGTCTCGAGGTCATATCTTCTTCGACAGACAAGGCGAACATCTTCACCTCGATCTTTGCCTCTAACAACGTTAGATGGCAAAGACCATCCTTTCCCCAACTTCCCACGAGCACAATCTCATTAATATTACCATTACAGCACGAGAAGTCTCTAGACTTATCAAAGGCCTTGACCCTAAGAAAGTCACTGGACGAGACAAAATTCCAGTGGGTGTCCTTAAGAATATCAAACTGAAAATATCCCCAATCCTAGCGAAGTTTTTCAACCCTCTTTCTGATTTGCATAAATGATCTGCCAAAGAATATAATCAGATCATTTGTAAACATCTATGCCGATGATACGACTATGTACGGGTGCTCCTTTAAAACTCTTGATGGTAAAAGTTTGACGACTGATTTCTCTTCTGATCTTGCACAAACTATCCAACGGGATAAAAACTGGCTGGTTATATTCAATGCCTCAAAGACCAAGCTACTTACATTCCATCATCGCCAATCTGACACCGAACTATCACCAATCAGGATGAACGGATGTCTTCTCGGGATGGCACAGTGCATTGGAAGATTATTGTGCCTTATATTCGCAAGTGACCCCAAGTGGAAGACGTATATACAATCCATTGCTAAGGAATGCAGGTAAAATGGTCGGTCCTCTGTACCGTTCCAGTAAATACATGACTCCTCCTGCTATCCTCTATCTTTACAAAAGCCAGATCAGGCAAAAAACGAAGTACTGTTGTCATATCTGGGCGGAAGCTGCCTAGACCTTACTCTCTCGCCTTGATAGAGTTCAAAAGCGTCTCCGAGCCCTTGTGGGAGAAAGGCAGAATGTGGCAAGCCTCTCGCTACTTCCACGGAAATAGTCTGACGAACTACATTCCCTGGTCCCGCCATGTCAAGCCTTCATGCCAAGGACACGCCATGCCACTTCCATAGTAGAAAACCACCCACATTCTCTCGGTATTCCATCGGTGAGGACTAAGTTTCACTCGAACAGCTTCAAACCACTGCCCAACATGATGTTTCCCCGATCACTACAAACTTAACCTGTTCAAGGCTAGAGTTAACTGTTATCTTCCACTCCTACACATACAAATGGCCTCCAAACCTAACCCTCTACCTCGAGTGGCCCCGGGCTTTGCAAAACCTTATTATAAAAAAAATGCAATTTTCAATAATATATGCATATTATTTGGAATGCACCTTTTGAGTCGGACAATCTTGGGAGGAGGCGGGGAAAATGACATCCTGACTTATGGTGAAAAGGGGGCATTGAGTAAAATAGGTTCAGAACCAGGGCTAGAGACTTTAGCTTTTAATGGAGATATCACCCTTGTTAACTGGACTAAGATTACCCAGTATAAAAGCCAAGGCTTTTTCTCTTGAGCTTTTTTTTTTGTCTGTTGCTTCTTTGTTCTTAGTGGATAGAACCATTCTGAAGGCGGTCTCGGTATGCCTAGTTGATATTGACGAATATAGAAGGGTCTTGGTTTTTCTTAGTGGTTAAGATTGCTGGGAATGAATTAGTCGGAAGTTTAAGAAAAAGCCGAACCCGCATTTCATCTTCGCACATCTACCCCATCTTCCTTTTACCAACCCTATGTCCTTCCACTCGCGTGTCCTTAATTAAATGAGTTCGAGTTTTGTTTAGTGTTATAGTGTTATTGAGTATCAATGCTCCTCAGAGGTGTCAGGAGACTGTGTAGGTATGCCGAACGTTAAGATCAATAAAAAAACGCTTCGCATTACTTTCTTAGATTGGATGTGTATGCAAGAAGATCGGTCCTAATAACGAGACATCACTAATATAATTATAATTATATATTATATATGTTATATTTTCGTAAAAAAAAAGGAAACTAGCTTTCTTGTCCACGTGACTTTTCACACGTTCCCATTCCTCTTAAAAGCTGCGTTCTTCTTCCTTTTCATTCTAAATTCTTTCCTTTGTTGATTACTGACTGCTGTGAATTAAGTTCAGTAAAGCCTTAAGAAAAGGTTATTCTATCCTAGCTTTTTCTCTCTCTGTACTACGTAACAATTTACTGAACTTAACTCCTCATGGACAAGATTATTCGTCTGGACAAGTTTGATATATCTTCTGCAGACCCCCAGGCTAGCAAGCTCTGGAGACTATGATACCGTAATTTTAATTATTACTTATCAATTATTGCTTCTTTAAACCCGGACAAACTCGAAGTCCTTTATTGAAACATCGGTGCTACCGAGGGTTGCTCTGGATTTGAACATGCTGTTGAATTGCTGATGACAGGTTTCCAAGTGTTATTCATGCTAGACATTTGTTGTATACACGTCTGCAGCAGGAAAATGAGTCTGTAGACCAATACCTCCAGGCCTTGAATCGACTTGCTGCTGACTGTTGCTTCCAAGATGTTACTGCTACTACTTACAGGGATGAATCTGTCCGTGATGCATTTATACGTGGTCTCCGGTCAATCCGTAATACGTGCCAGACTGCTTGAAAATGATACGCTAACTCTCAAGAAGGCTACTCAATGTGCTAGAGCCTTAGAACAGGCTCACTTTCGTGCTGAATCATACGCTTCTCAGATTGGATCAGCCGCTGCTACTACCACTAGGACTAAAAATGTGTTTGCTGATTCTGCCGATGAGGCCACTTCCACTACTATCACTAAAAATATGCTTTCCGACTTAACTGATTCTCGTGCGGAGTATGACTCTGTACAATTGTCTGCTGCCCTTGCTCGTGGCAAGTGCTACAACTGCGGAGGGAAACGTCACTTTAAGGATAATCGTCGCTATTGTCCTGCCCGTGATAAGATATGTCGAAACTGTGGCAAACTCGGTCATTTTTCTAAAGTTTGCCGTTCTACCATGCCGGCACCTTCACGTTCTACCTCAACTATTATAGTAGCCCGTGCTAAAGACGATGATAGGTCTCCTCCAGTCACTAAAACTTTAGAATTAAGGAAAGAGATTAACTGCCCTCATAGACACGGGTAGTTCTGATAACTTTATCAGTGCCCGTATTGTTAAAACAATGAAACTGTCTACTTCTAAACGGAATTCCGTAATTCCCATGGCATCATCTGCCATTTCCCTCAAACTATCTGAATATTGTACTGAGGACATTATCTTCAATGGTTACGAATATAAACAAATTGACTTTACAGTACTTCCTGATTCCTGTATGGATATTATACTCGGAGTGCCCTTCTTAAAACTACACCAGAGTATCACTATTTCTTTTGGTGGATCTCAGGATATTCTAAAAATCTGCGCTTTAACCAAGATCAGTTGTGCTCCTGTTAAGTTGTTCCGAAACTTGACCCCTGACTGCAAACCTATTGCTACTAAATCCCGAAATTACCGTGCGGAGGATGCTCGGTTCATTGAAAAAGAAATTCTACAACTGCTTGAGGATGATATAATTGAAACAAGTTACTCTCCGTGGCGTGCTCAAATTGTTGTAACTTCGTCACCTAATAAAAAGAAACGATTGGTAGTCGATTTCTCCCAGACTATTAATCGTTTCACCTTACTTGATGCCTACCCCTTGCCTCGAATTGAAGATCTCGTAAACCAAATAGCCCAGTATCGTATCTATAGTATAATTAACTTGTCCAAAGCGTACTATCAGATTGAAATTTGCCCCGAAGATCGCCCCTATACGGCCTTTCAAGCTGGAAATCGTCTGTACCAATTTAAACGAATACCCATGGGTGTTACTAACGGGGTTTCTGCCTTTCAGCGATTTATGAATTCTTTCATTTCTGATAACAAATTATCTGGAACCTTTTCGTATATAGATGATATAACTGTTTGCGGTAAAACCCAGGAGGAGCACGACGTCAATTTGGAATGTTTCTTAAAGGTTGCCTCGACATACAACCTCGAAATAAACCGGGAAAAATCAGAGTTTTCACTTCGATCTATTAACGTACTTGGATATCAAATTTATAATGGAACTATCCAACCCAATCCTGAGCGTTTGAAGCCACTTTTGCAAATGCCCCCTCCTTCCGACTCAAATTCGTTAAAAAGGTATCTTTTTATGTTTGTTTATTATGCGAAATGGATACCTAAATATTCACACAAAATTCGTCCACTGGTCGAAAATAAACAATTCCCTATGTCTCCTATAGTTATAAATTCTTTCGAAAAACTTAAGAAAGACATTGCCGAGTCATCTGTAAAAGTTATTGATGATGAATTGCCATTTACTATTGAAACCGATGCCTCAGAAAAGGCTATTGGAGGCACTCTTTTACAAGCTGAGCGACCTGTAGCATTCTTTTCTCGGTCGCTAAACCCCTCTGAAATACGACTTCATATAGTCGAAAAAGAAGCATATGCTATAGTCGAATGCGTTCGTAAATGGAGAGGCCTCCTTGCCGGGAAACATTTTACTATTATTACTGATCAACAAGCCGTATCTTTTATGTGTAAAACTTGCTAATCGCGGAAAAATTAAAAACGATAAAATTATACGGTGGAAAATGGAACTTCTTCCCTTTTCATACGGCATAAAACACCGTCCTGGAAATGAAAACACAGTTGCGGATACCTTATCCAGAGTATGTAGTGCTGAAGTCCGACGTGTGACTTCTGAATGTACGACCTGTGCCAAAATAAAACCCCAATTCTTCGATTCTGCTAGTAATGTTATGATCCGTTCTACTGCGCCATTTCAGCGTCTTTCCATAGACTACAAAGGGCCTGTCCCGGTATCCCCGACAGGTTACCGATATATACTTACTGTCGTCAACGAATATAGTCGATTTCCCTTTGCCTTTCCTTGCCGCGATTGCTCTTCGCAAACTGCTATTCAGTGCCTGACAAGTATTTTCTCCATTTTCGGGCTTCCCTCGTTCATTCACTCCGATCGAGGAACTTCGTTTATGTCGGGAGAATTTAAACAATTCCTAACACGAATTGGAATTGGATGCAGTAATACTACTGCTTATAACCCTAGAGGCAATAGCCAATGCGAACGTTACAACGGCATAATTTGGAATCGAAACAGTTACCAATTAGTGCTTGGCAGGATGTTCTACATGATGTGTTAAATGCTATCCGCTCCCTGCTATGCACCACTACGAATGCAACCCTCCACGAACGAATGTTCAATTTTGAAAGGCGGTCCTCCACCGGTACTGCGTTGCCTGTTTGGCTAAAACGATTCGATGGCAAAGATAAATATGACCCTATCATTGAGGTCGTGGAACTCCTTCAGGCCAACCCTACGCATGCCAAAATACGTCACAATGATGGCCGGGAAGATTCGGTGGCGCTGAGACGGTTGGCACGTTTTCCACGCCCGGATGTACCTCAAAATGGACCTGAAAATACTCAACCCGACGTGGACCATGAAGATTCAACCCTTTTGCCTGATGCAGGTCCCGTTAATATTTCTTCACCTTATACAGAAAATGAATCTGTGAATAATAGCCAGAATCCTGAAAGTCAGCCTTCTCAGAGGTCTGGCTCTTCCAGTGGCGAACTACCTCCACGCCGGTCTAGCAGGATTCGTAGACCAATCCAACGACTGGATTTATAAAACTTTTTCAATTACAATCTCTTTTGCAAGTGGGGGAGAATGTTATATTTTCGTAAAAAAAAAGGAAATTAACTTTCTTGTCCACGTGACTTTTCACACGTTCCCATTCCTCTTTAAAAGCTGCGTTCTTCTTCCTTTTCATTCTAAATTCTTTCCTTAGTTGATTACTGACTGCTGTGAATTAAGTTCAGTAAAGCCTTAAGAAAAGGTTATTCTATCCTAGCTTTTTCTCTCTCTGTACTACGTAACACCTGTGTTATAAAATAAAATAAGACATATCTCAGCTGATTTGCAGACAAATAAACTAACATACTCAAGAGCGAGAGCCGGATGTGAATGGGACAAGGCCCCGTCACAAAATGACCATTATCGTCGAGCCTGTTAAGCCATAAAAAACGCCATAAAAGAGTTCACACGGGGAAGTACTGGCAGTCAACAGGAGGCCAGGGAAGAGATCTGTCACGGTCAGTCTGGGCAGTCAGCAGCAGTCAGCAGCAGTCAGCAGGAGGAGCGCCACGCTAACCAGTGAGAACTACTATGAGAGATCAACCCAGATCGGCGGCCGGCTTATGAACTATACCACAAGGTATCTGTCCCAAACCCCACACGTTCCTAGTGAAATAAATCACGTAAATCTATTTCTGCTGTTGTCGTATTTCTTTCTTGCAACCATACGCTTGTCTATAACACCTGGTTGGTGTTCTGATGAGTTCTCTGGATCGGCAAAGTCTCTGCCGCGACCCTGGCTGTTTCGCCAGAATGCGTGCGATATGAAGAGGCGGAGGAGTCCATTGGACATATCTTCTTTCACTGCACTGTCGTGCGACCGTTGTACGAACTAGTCGAAGCCTACATGATCCGCATGTTGAGCGGAAAGTTCTCCTGTTTCTTGAGATGAAATCTGTCTTTGGAAATGTGGTGCTGCCGCTGAAGAAGATTGTTGGCGTTTTTATGAGAGTCCTGATTTGGACGACGCGACAGAAGGCATTTCATGAAGGCGAGAAGTTTTCCTCTTCTCAACTAATAGTGTTTATTAAACACTTGCTTAAAATCAAGGAAAACGACTTCCTCCCTCGAAATTTGGCGAAAGGTAGGTGAGTGTTGTGCGCTTATGTTGTGATCTGGAGTTCCACCTGGATACCGGCTAAACAAAACGATATGATGAGCATAACTCGCCCCAGTCCGTAATAGGTTAGCATCGGCTTTCTCTTAAGTTTTTCCAAATCATTTTAACTTCGCTTGGACCCTCTTATTTTTGTCCCTTTTTACATTTATTTAAATTTTCTCGTCCTTAGCTGCATTAGGTGACAGTTATTTCAGTTCTCTCGTAGGTGTCAGGTGACTTTTATCTTTTTGTATTTATGTTTGAATGCGTGCGTGACTGTAGATGAGTAAACGTAAATTTTTTTCTTGATCAGACCCCGTACACTTTCGACAAGTTAACAGTCTTCTCTGTCATGGTTAGGGTTATGGGTGGCTGGAGTTTCTTAATACTAACAGACATTTTATTTGGTTTTTTAAATGTTACACCATTGTATATAAAGTTGAGGAAATTTTTTTTATTTTATTCTTTCCCTCCCGGCTGCCTACAAAAAACAGGAACTCATTGAGAAAATGTATTATGGTGTATGTGTTAAGCCTGTGCAGTGTAAGTGAGGTTTTTGGTGAAAGGGAAAGTATTGAAGTGGATGGGTCAGTGATAAGATAAGTGTTTACAAGACCCCCACACTCACACATACACTTTCCCCATTTTGCCTTTGTGGCAAATTTCTACTCTAAGTACAATCATTATATTTTTGTTCTGTTGTCTGGAAAAACATTGTCACTCAGGATTTTTGCTCTATTGCTCAAAAAGTCAAGTGGAAAGTGGAAGAGAATAAAACAATTAGGAAGTAAAAACAAGCAGACTACAAGAACAAAGACTGTTAATTTAAAATACACTTGTAACATTTAATTCCCAGAAAAAACATCTCTCCCAATAGTAATACTATGTGTATGGTCAGTGAATACCATATGTTTTTTGTATGGAAACAGCTAATTTTGTCATCACCATATATGCCATCAAATATGTTAATTCCTTTCGAGTTGTATTTTCCTTTGTAATTACAGAGGAATAAGTTTTTGCTGGTGGAATAAAAAACAGCAGAGTTGAGTGAATAGATGTTGAGTAGATATAATAATATTGTATTTGATTTAAAGTGAAGAAATGTCAACAACATGTTCCTTTATTTGACAATAACAAATGAATTTACTTATTGATAATTACAATTGGTCAAGTTACTATTTACATGATTCCAAATGTCATAAGTTTACCTGAAAATTTCCAGACAAGAATGTTCTTAAGTACAATGGTGGATTTTTAGTGCTATGACCTTTGACAGTGTAATATAGAAACATAAAATGCTTATAAAAACCACATTAGGCAGTATGGCATGTGGTCAAA